TACATTTTACACAAGAGTTAACTCAAGATGGATTAAAGACTTAAATGTAAAACCCAAAACTAGAAAAACACGGGAAGAAAATCTAGGCAATACCATTCCGGACATAGGCATGGGCAAAGATTTTATGATGAGATCGCCAAAAGCATCTGCCACAAAAGCAAAACTTGATAAATGGGATCTAATTAAACAAAAGAGCTTCTGCACAGCAAAAGAAATTATCATCAGAGCAAACAGACATCCTACCGAACGGGAGAAAATTTGTGCAATCTACTCATCTGACAAAGGTCTAATATTCAGAATCTACAAAGAACTTAAGCAAATTTACATGAAAAAAACAACTTCATTAAAAAGTGGACAAAGGATTTGAACAGACACTTCTCAAGATGTACATGCGTCCAACAAAAATATGAAAAAAAGGTCAACATCACGGATCATTACAGAATTGCAAATCAAAACCACAAATGAGATACCATCTCATGCCAGTCAGAATGGCAACTATTAAAAAGTCAAGAAACAACAGATGCTGGCAAGGTTGCAGAGAAATAGAAATGCTTTTACACTGTTGGAGGAAAAGTAACTCAGTTAATCCATTGTGGAAGACAGTGTGGCAATTCCTCAAAGATTTAGAACCGGAAATACCATTTGACCCAGCAATGCCAATACAAGATATATATCCAAAGGAATATAGATCATTCTATTACAAAGTTATATGCATGTTTACATTCATTGCAGCACTATTCACAATAGCAAAAACATGGAACCTACCCAAATGCCCATCAATGATGAACTTGATAAAGAAAATATGGTACATATACACCATAGAATATCATGCAGCCACAAAAAGGAATGAGATCAAGTCCTTTTCAGTGATATGGATGAAGCTGGAAGCCATTATCCTCAGCATACTAACACAGGAACAGAAAACCAAACACCACATGTTCTCATTTATAATTGGGAACTGAGCAATGAGAACACATGGACACAGGGAGATGAACAATACACACTGGGGCCTCTTGGGAGAGGGCAGAGGTTGGGGGATCATTAGCAAAAATAGCTAATGCATGCCAGGGTTAATACCTAGGTGATGAGTTGATAGGTGCAGCAAACCACCATGGTACACATTTACCTATGTAACAAACCTGCACATCCTGCACATGTATCCTGGAACTTAAAATTAAATTAAAAGACAAGCTTAAAGAGTTAATGAAAAATAATTAAATAAAAGAAGCCTTTGATTTTGAAAAACCAGAAACAATAGTTTTAATTTTGCTTTTAACATATATTCAAATCCTTTGATACTGTTCCCTTCTAGAGATGCAGCTTAATTCCCTCGCTTGAGTGTGGCTTGGACTTAATGAGGCACTTCTGATGTGTACTGGCTCTGTGTTCCCACCCAAATCTCATCCTGAATTGTCATTCAAATTGTACTCCCTACCTGTTGGGGGAGGGACCACACGGGAGGTGACTGGATCATGGGGACAGTTCCCCCATGCTGTTCTCATGATACTGAGGGAATTCTCATGAGATGTGATGGTTCTATAAGTGGCATTTCCCTGCTTCATTCTGCATTTCTCTCTCCTGCCACCATGTGAAGAAGGACATGTTTGCTTCCACTTCTGCCATGACTCTAAGTTTCCTGGGGCAGGCTCCTCAGCAATGCAGAACTGTGAGTCAGTTAAACCTCTTTCCTTTATAAATCACCCAATCTCAGGTATTTCTTTATAGCAGTGTGAGAATGGACTAATACAACTTCTAACTTATAGAATAATGCTGACATAACAGTTTGTGACTTTGTGTGTAAAACATAAAACTCACTGCAGCTTCCACCTTCTCTCTCTCTCTATCCGCAGGAACATGAGCTCTGGGGGAAGCCAGCTGCTGTGCCAAAAGCAGCCCTGCAGGAAGGTCCACGTGACTGAGAACTGAGGCCTTCTGGGACTAGATAACAAGGAACTAGGCCTTTTCCAACAGCCATGTGACTGATCTGTCTTTCTTGTGAATCCTCAACCCCAGTGAAGCCCTCAGATGATGCAGCCCTTGACAACTGGACTGCAATCTTGTGAGAGGTCCTGAGCCATAAGCACTCTGGGAAACTTCTCCTGGATTCTTAAGCATTGGAAACTGTGGGAGATGATGAATATTTATTGTTTTGAGCTTGGTGTTATATAATTTGTTATGCAACCGTAAATACACAATACATTTTCACAAGACAGGATGTATTATTACACGTTAAATTGCATTTGCTCCAAATGTATCATCATCATCATTATTGAGACAAGGTCACACTCTGTAACCCAGTCTGGAATGTGGTGGCATGATCACCATGCACTGCAGTGTCAACCTCCTGGGGTCAAGGGACCCTCTGATCTCAGCCTCCTGAGTAGCTGGGACTACAGGCATGAACCACCATGCCTCACTAATTTTCTAATTTCTTTGTAGAGATGGGGGTTTTGCCCAGGCTGATCTTGAACTTCTGGAGTCAACAAATCTGCCTTCCCCTGCCTTCCACAGTGCTAGGATAGCAGGCACGAGCCACCACATCTGGCCTAAAGTAATTATAAGACATTAAACATGTAACTTAGTTTTAAAAGGTAAGGAGAATTTCCATGGCCGAAGAGGATGTAGTTTAATATCGTTTACAATGATCACTTTACTTGAACTTCAATTTCCAACTGTGTCGCAATTAAACACAAAAGGAAGATCCAACCCTTGCTAGGCTGATTCTATGATGGCCCCAACAGCCAGCTCGTGGTCATTCACCTTCTCCCAGTGATTCAACCAACTCTAATGTAGGTGCCGCTGTGAAGGGATTTAGCAGATATAATTAAGGGGCTCAATTAGTTGACTTTAGGCTGGGTTTCTCCTGCTTGGACTGTTCTAATCAGGTGAGCCCTTGAAAGGACTGGGTTCTTCCTGAGCATAGAGAAATGCAGTGTGAGAGGCATTCAGCATGAGGTGTTTCCTCCACCGTGGGCTTTGAAAATGAAGGGGCTATGGGCCAGGTGTGGTGGTTCACGCCTGTAATCCCAGCACTTTGGGAGGCTGAGGTAGGCGGAACAAGAGGTCAGGAGATCAAGGCCATCCTGGCTAACACGGTGAAACCCTGTCTCTACTAAAAATACAAAAAAAGAAAAAAAAAATTAGCCAAGCATAGTGGTGGGCACCAGTAGTCCCAGCTACTTGGGAGGCTGAGACAGGAGAATGGCATGAACCAGAGAGGTGGAGCTTGCAGTGAGCTGAGAACACACCACTGCACTCCAGCCTGGGCTACAGAGTGAGACTCTGCCAAAAAAAAAAAAAAGAAGGGGCCTGTGTAGGAAAGAATGCTGGTGAACACCAGGAATTCAGCGCAGCCTCTTCGTTCTCTACATTGACAACCAGCAAGGAACAGGGAATTCGGTCTTACAACTGTAAGAAACTGCATTCTGCCACCTCTGTATAAACCTGAAGGAGGATTCCAAATGAAAACACAGCTTTTGGAAGCCCAGAACAGAGATTCTATCCACATCTTGCCCAGATTTCTGACTAAGGAACAAGAAACAGATAAATGGGTGTTGTTTCGCCAGGGGTGGTAGTGCACGAATGAATTGATGAATTGATATGCACACTAGTTACATAAAATAAAATCTTTCTGAACTTTTTCAGTGTTTTACACTTTATAATTATCTGTGATGTAATTTAACACACTCATATTTCATTCATTAAGTCAACAAAAATTAATTTAGTGCCTATGATGAACCAGGTATCCCTTCATATGCTCACGTGCCTGACACTCCAGAAGCTTCACAAGACCGAGGTGGAGCCACTGGAGTGTTTTAAGTGGAGAAATGACACACTCTGACTGACAGGAGCAGGACCACTGTGAAGAGAACAGTCACGTAGCAGGTCATGGGACAGTGCTAGTGTCACAATTCACGAGTGACAGTGTGGTGGGGACTAAGGGGACAGGAGGGTCTGAAGGATGAGAGGGACTGAGGGAAGGGCTGGAGAAGGGGGCGCTGAGGAAAAGGACCAGAGGAAAGAATTCGAAAGCAGCAGAATTCTTAGGTTTCAATACATTGTTTCATGGATTTTAATACATCCATCTACAGAGCCTAGCAGGGTGTCCTTGGCAGTTGGCCTTTAATACCTTATGTGGGTCTGCCTAAAAACTAATTGTTTTTATGTTAATCGAGTTTTAAAAATACTAAGTGTTCCTATAAAATATACACAACACGTAGAAGTGCATACTTCCTGAAAACAGGCAGTGCATGAGCACTGGTGTGGGGCATTGTGACTGCACTGAATAGTTGCAACTGTGAGGTGAATAGTCTGTACTGGCTCCTGGTTGCAACATACAGTAACACAGTGTGCTACTTTGTATTGAGGAAATATCCTGGACTCACACAGAAACTCAGAGCTATGGAGTGATAGTAAATTTAAAATACGACAAGTGGGAGTCACAGACACATTGTTTGCAAAAGTGAAATTTAGGAGCTTTCTGAGTCCTGTTGTAACGCTTTTGGACACATTTATAAATCAAGGGACCAAAGTCATATTTTTTACCGATTAGATTCCTGATCATTCGGGGGTTACCAAGATTCTATTACCCAATATATTTAATAAACAAAGAACAAACTGGTCTCTATTCTCTCTTATGCACTCAGGCGCAACTTTTCCAGATTTAAAAAAAAAAAAAAAAGAAAGAAAAAAGTCTCTATACCTTCTTTCCCAGAGCAAGCTCACTCTCTGGCACCAAGCTCCGTGGGGTGAGTTTTTTTCTAGAAGAGTCCAGGGGGACAGGTAAGGAGTGGGAGGCAGGGAGTCCAGTTCAGGGATGGAGATTCCAGGATGAAAAGTGAAGGGAGAGTGACCGGGCCAATGCCCAGGGGTTCTCCCTGGTTTCTCAGACAGCTCGTGGGCCAAGACTCAGGGAGACATTGAGACAGAGCGCTTGGCACAGGAGCAGCGGGGTCAGGGCGAAGTCCCAGAGCCCCAGGTGTGGCTCTCAGGGTCTCAGGCCCCGAAGGCGGTGTATGGATTGGGGAGTCCCAGCGTTGGGGATTCCCCATCTCCGCAGTTTCTCTTCTTCTCACAACCTGCGTCGAGTCCTTCTTCCTGGATACTCACGACGCGGACCCCGTTCTCACTCCCATTGGGTGTCGGTTTCTAGAGACGCCAATCAGCGTCGCCGCGGTCCCGGTTCCAAAGTCCCCACTAACCCACCAGGACTCAGAGTCTCCGCAGACGCCAAGAATGGCGGTCATGGCGCCCCGAACCCTCCTCCTGGTGCTCTCAGGGGCCCTGACCCAGACCTGGGCCGGTGAGTGCGGGGTCGGGAGGGAAACGGCCTCTGCGGGGAGGAGCGAGGGGCCCGCCCGGCGGGGGCGCAGGACCCTGGGAGCCGCGCGGGGAGGAGGGTCGGGCGGGTCTCAGCCTCTCCTCGCCCCCAGGCTCTCACTCCATGAGGTATTTCTACACCTCCATGTCCCGGCCCGGCCGCGGGGAGCCCCGCTTCATCGCCGTGGGCTACGTGGACGACACGCAGTTCGTGCAGTTCGACAGCGACGCCGCGAGCCAGAGGATGGAGCCGCGGGCGCCGTGGGTGGAGCAGGAGGGGCCGGAGTATTGGGACCGGGAGACACGGAACATGAAGACCGCGACACAGAATGCCCCAGTGGCCCTGCGGAACCTGCTCCGCTACTACAACCAGAGCGAGGCCGGTGAGTGACCCCGGCCCGGGGCGCAGGTCACGACCCCTCCGCATTCCCCACGGACGGCTCGGGTGGCCCCGAGTCTGCGGGTCCCAGATCCAACCCGAAGCCGCGGGACCCGGGGACCTTTGACCCGGGAGAGCCCCAGGCGCCTTTACCCGGTTTCATTTTCAGTTGAGGCCAAAATCCCCGCGGGTTGGGCGGGGCGGGGCGGGGCTCCGGGGACGGGCTGACCGCGGGGGCGGGGCCAGGGTCTCACACCTTCCAGAGGATGGTTGGCTGCGACCTGGGACCCGACGGGCGCCTCCAACGCGGGTATGAACAGTTCGCCTACGACGGCAGGGATTACATCGCCCTGAACGAGGACCTGCGCTCCTGGTTCGCGGCGGATGTGGCGGCTCAGAACACCCAGCGGAAGTGGGAGGCGGCGGGTGTGGCGGAGCAGGACAGAGTCTACCTGGAGGGCCGGTGCGTGGAGTGGCTCCGCAGATACCTGGAGAACGGGAAGGAGACGCTGCAGCGCGCGGGTACCAGGGGCCACGGGGCGCCTCCCTGATCTCCTGTGGATCTCCCGGGCTGGCCTCCCACAAGGAGGGGAGACAAATGGGACCAACACTAGAATATCGCCCTCCCTCTGGTCCTGAGGGAGAGGAATCCTCCTGGGTTTCCAGATCCTGTACCAGAGAGTGACTCAGGTTCCGCCCTGCTCTCTGACACAAGGATAAAATCTCTGAGGGAATGAAGGGAAGACGATCCCTCGAATACTGATCAGGGGTTCCCTTTGACACCGGCAGCAGCCTTGGGGCCCGTGACTTTTCCTCTCAGGCCCTGTTCTCTGCTTCACACTCAATGTGTGTGGGGGTCTGAGTCCAGCTCCTCTGAGTCCCTCAGCCTCCACTCAGGTCAGGACCAGAAGTCACTGTTCCCTCCTCAGGGAATAGAATTTTCCACGGAATAGGAGATTCTCCCAGGGCCTGTGTCCAGGATACTGTCTGGGTTCTGTGCTCCCTTCCCCACCCCAGGTGTCCTGTCCATTCTCAAGATGGTCACATGCGTGCTGATGGACTGTCCCATGACAGATACAAAATGCCTGAATTTTCTGACTCTTCCCATCAGACCCCCCCAAGACACATGTGACCCACCACCCCGTCTCTGACCATGAGGCCACCCTGAGGTGCTGGGCCCTGGGCTTCTACCCTGCGGAGATCACACTGACCTGGCAGCGGGATGGGGAGGACCAAACTCAGGACACGGAGCTCGTGGAGACCAGGCCTGCAGGAGATGGAACCTTCCAGAAGTGGGCGGCTGTGGTGGTGCCTTCTGGAAAGGAGCAGAGATACACCTGTCATGTGCAGCATGAGGGTCTGCCCAAGCCCCTCACCCTGAGATGGGGTAAAGAGGGAGATGGGAGTGTCATGTCTCTTAGGGAAAGCCGGAGCCTTTCTAGAGACCTTTAGCAGGGTCAGGACCCCTCACTTTCCCCTCTTTTCCCAGAGCCGTCTTCCCAGTCCACCATCCCCATCATGGGCATCATTGCTGGCCTGGTTCTCCTTGGAGCTGTGGTCACTGGAGCTGTGGTCGCTGCTGCGATGTGGAGGAGGAAGAGCTCAGGTAAAGAAGGGGTGAGGAGTGGAGTCTGAGATTTCTTGTCTCACTGAGGGTTTCAAGCCCCATGTAGAAGTGTGCCCTGCCTGGTTACTGGGAAGCACCATCCACACTCATGGGCCGACCCAGCCTGGGCCCTGTGTGCCAGCACCTACTTTTTTGTAAAGCACCTGTTAAAATGAAGGACAGATAGATCACCTCGATTACGGTGGTGATGGGACCTGATCCCAGCAGTCACAAGTCACAAGGGAAGGCCCCTGCTGAGGACAGACCTCAGGAGGGCAGTTGGTCCAGGATCCACACCTGCTTTCTTCATGTTTCCTGATCCCACCCTGGGTCTGCAGTCACACATTTCTGGAAACTTCTCTGGGATCCAAGACTAGGAGATTCCTCTAGGACCTTATGGCCCTGGTTCCTTTCTGATACCTCACAGGACATTTTCTTCCCACAGATAGAAAAGGAGGGAGCTACTCTCAGGCTGCAAGTAAGTATGAAGGAGGCTGATCCCTGAGATCCTTGGAATGTTGTGGTTGGGGGCCCATGGGGGAGCTCACCCAGCCCACAGTTCCTCCTCTAGCCACATCTCCAGAGGGATCTGACCAGGTCCTGTTTTTGTTCTACTCCAGGCAGTGACAGTGCCCAGGGCTCTGATGTGTCTCTCACGGCTTGTAAAGGTGAGACCCTGGGGGGCCTGATATCTGTGGGGTGTTGGGGGGAACAGTGGACGCAGCTGTGCTGTGGGGTTTCTTTGACTTGGATGTATTGAGCATGTGATGGGCTGTTTAAAGTGTCACTCCTCACTGTGACGGATGTGAATTTGTTCATGAATATTTTTTCTATAGTGTGGGACAGCTAACTTGTGTGGGACTGCGAGGCAAGGTTTGTTCACGCCTTCTCTTCGTGACTTGAAGAACCCTGACGTTCTTTCTGCAAAGGCACCTGAATGTGTGTTCCTGTAGGCATAATGTGAGGAGGTGGGGAGAACACCCCATCCCCGTGTCCACCATGACCCTCTTCCCCACGCTGACCTGTGTTCCCTCCTCATTTATCTTTCCTGTTCCAGGGAGGTTGGGCTGGGATGTCTCTATCTCTGTCTCAACTTCATTTTGCTCCCATTTTGCACGGAGCTGTAACTTCTTCCTTCCCTATTACAATTAGAACCTGAGTATAAATTTACTTTTTCAAATTATTATCATGAGAGGTTCATGAGTTAATTAAAGTAGAATATTCCTAAAATTTGAGAGACGAAATAAATAGAAGACATGAGAACCTTCCAGAGTCCACGTGTTTCTTATGGTGATTTGCTGCAGGGGAGGATAGTAGGTGGGGCTGTGCCTAGTTTGTGTTCCAGCCACCACGGGCTTTATGTGGTCACTGCTTGGCTGAATCATCTTTGCTTCTTCATTGTCCTTGGCCTTTCAGTAGAACCTTGTCCCACCAAGACCTGTGATCACAGGGAGTTGGATGTCACCTAGGGCGGTCCCTGCATACAAATCTCCTTGTGGTATCAAGAGATAAATGTTCAGACCTGTCCAGATCTTGCCCTCCTCCCAGGGCTCTTTCCTGGATTGTATTTTCCACCTTGTCTCCAATCATTTTAATGGAACCAGATTCTGAAATTTGCAGAGAGGATGGGTTCCCTAGTTTCTCATCATAGGTAATTTTCTGTTGGAGCTCCTCTTCTGCTGTCCTACTCATCTCCCTGCCCTGAGTTGTAGTAATCCTAGTGCTGGCTCCAATCCAAACTCAGGGATGTATAAAGCAGAGTCTAATTTAGATTCATATGTGGTTGGAAAATTGTACCCATCAGGCGAGGGTTATTGTTCCTGAAGAGAAAAATATGGTTGTGTGCTGCAGTGTGCAGGAGGGTTGGTGTGGGAGGAGGGGGAAGGAAGGGAGGACGCACAAGCAGCCCTGGGAAGAAAAGCACTGGCGGCATCGATGTTCACATGAAATGATGTTCTTTAGCTGCCACGAAACATTATTTTTCCTGAGGCTACATTAATAAAAATATTGGCTTTAGAATAGGGAGGTGCTCTACAGTGATCATTATTCCACTGACATTTGTTGTCTGCTAGGGATATGACTGCATTTGCATTTAGAAAGCAGCATTAAAGTCAAAACAGAAAAATTTCTGGCATTGTGGTGCATACATTCTAGATGGAAGCTTGTCCAACCCAAGGCTTGTGGGCTGAATGTGGCCCAGGACAGTTTTGAACGTGAGGAGTTTTTGCTTCTCTGTGGCAGACCTGAATCCTGGAATGAGTGCACCCACCTCCCTCAGGATCAGGAGTGAATGCTTTAGGAACACTCCTTTGCAGTGACCTGCAAAAGATAGAGGGCACAGTTACTGTGAGAACCCAGAGTAGCAGCCAAGGGGGCTCTGCCCTCAAGGAGTTGTGGGGAAGGTTAATAAAAGATGGTGTCCCAGGGTCAGACCAGATGGGCAGCCAGCGAGGGCACTGCTTCATATCTATGATGAGAGTGCAAGAATTGAGGAGCAGGAGGCCGAGGGTGTTTGACCAAATACAAAGTCATGATCCCAGTCTCAATTCCTAGACTTCAGCCAAGCTTCAGATTCAGAATCCACAGTGGGGCTTAAGGAGGCCAGGAAATAAACCTGGACACACTATGGCCCACAGTGGGACCACTGGGTCCATAAACCCAGTCCTGGTTTTCTCCCCATTCCCCACATGCATAATTGTCCTTCATGCACTGGCAACTTGAGTCACCCCCACACTGCGTACCTAGTCTGGAGAGTAAGGGCTCTCATTGTGCGAAAGCCCAAAGGGAATCCTCTAAAACTTCCCTCATCCCAGCCAAGCCAGAAGCAATATTGTGCCCCAGGTGGAACTTGTGGAGGGTACTGCAGGTAGTGTAGGGGTAGCACTGCCATTAGAGAGCTGAAGGATGGGGGGGCGGGGGGGTTGGGATTGCCTATTATCTCCATATAATTCAGCAATCTGTCCCTGAAGAAGCCTGATAAAGCATGAATGGAATTTCTCCAGATTTGACCAAGTAGGAGTCCTGATTGCAGCTGCCATGCTGGCTGGATATCACTGCTTGGGGAGATTAATAAGGCCTCAGGTACATAGCAAGCAGCTGTGGATTTGGTGAGTGTATTCCTTCCCATTCCATTTAGAAAATGGATATGGAATGATTCACATTCACATGGGATTTTTAGTACATGTATTGATAGCTTGCCTCAGGGCTACCTTAACTCCTCAACCTTCTATAAATATCACCTTAAGAGTCCTGGACAAATCAGACATATCACAGAATACTAAATCTGCTCATTTCATTGGCAATATCACATAGATCAGGATGGAAGCGAAAGAGGAGGAAAGTACGCTGAATTCCTTGGCAAAACATGTGCCCTATGGAAGGTGAAGATTAAGCTTACAGAGCTTCAAGAGTGGACACTGCAGTGAAGTTTTATGAGTCCAGTGGTTAGGGGCATGCAGGGCTCTCCCCTCCAAAGTAAAAGTCAAACTTGCATCTTGTATCCTCACCAGAAGGAAGGACGCACACTACCCAGCTTCTCTGGGTTCTGTTAACACCACATTCCACATCTAAGTATATTGCTTTGGCCCACACTCTGGGTGATATAGGAGGCAGCCAGCTATGAGTGGGGCCTGGACAGGAAAGGACACTGCCGCAGACCCAGGCTGTGGTGCAGTCAGTCACCATCCCTCAGACCCCTGGCCCTGGAAGTGGCGGTGTGGGGAAAGATGCAGGATGGAGCTGAACCAAGCATCAGTGGTGTCCCGTCCCGCGGGATCGGCAATGTAGGCCCTAAAAGAGGGAGTGGGAACTCGGGGGGACAAGAGACACGAGAAATGGAGACAAGACAGTATCCTGATCAATCTCGTTTATTGGTGGCAGTGTAATGCCTTATATAGACCGGCAGGGGCAGAGGTTGGGCCAGGGCGATGATGGTGGCCCTGTGGTGGGCGTGGCCAGGTAGGTCTCGGTTTCTTCGGTCGGAGGTCATGTTGCACCTGCGCTGTCGGTTGGTAATTTTCCCGGGCACGGGATGGCGCCTGCGCTGTAAGTTGATCATTTTCCCGGGCGCGGGAAAATGGGTGATGAAGAACCCGGAAGAGCGCCATTTTGTACTGGCGTATGAGACAGCAGAACAGGGAAGAAAGTAAATCTAGGGAGGAGGCATAGAGTGGAAGCGTATAGAGCTCAGGCGTCAGTCGTCAGTTATAATCGCTATGGCCGGGCCACGCAGCTCCGGACAAGTGGGAGAGTCAGAATGGAGGGCCTGTGATCTGGAGTAAGGCCACGGAATCCACAGCATGCTCCCTGTTAGAAGTAACTTTTAGCATACTACTGACCCTGATAAGATAGAATGCTTGATCATGGGACACCAAGCAACCTGTGATTCCAAGTGCCCGTGTGTATTGGCTTCTATGTGACCCACAGAGGCATAGATGGGACAGGCTCAGCGGGGTCTATCATGAGATGAAAATGGTCATGTGGGTTGAGCCTCAATTCCATGTTAACACCCACAGAAAACACCCAGCCCTGATGTGGCCCTGAATAACCAAACAAATTGAAGATAAATTGAAGTTAGCCAGCCGGCATCACAGATCAGCCCAGGTATGACAGGAAGCACTGATAAGTGGATAAACACAGTGGCAGGAATGAGGCTACAAGTGGGTCCAGCAGCACTGACTCCCCCTTACCAAGGACCGTCCAGCTGCTGCTTCCTCTGAATACTCTGCTTATGAGCATTACAGAATAATGATGGGCCCCATAGGGCACTGTTTCTTCAGGTAACTGACTAGCCCCTAAATGACAAGTTGAACAGCTTGAGCCCCATCTATCCTGGAAGGACCAGGGGTTCATCCTCACAGGGATAAGCACCTATCTGATGTGGTGTGATTTTCCTCTCTGTGTTCAGACCCTCAGCCAGCATCACTATCTGCATTCCTGATCCACTGGCTCAGAATTTCAGTACATTTTCTGCCCACGGGACACACCTCAGAGGGAAGGGGATGAAGCGTGGGCCGTGACCATGGGAGCCCCTGGTCATATCAACACCTGCACTTCCCAGGGGCTGCCAGCCACACAGAGTCATGGACAGGTCTCTACAGGCACAACTCAGTACCAGCTTAGATGAAACCCTCTGAGGAATGGGTGCCATCTTTCAGGATGTGGTGCATGCATTGAATCAAACACGTCTCTATGGTTCTGTGTGTTCACAAGTAAGAATATATGGGTCCAAAAACCAAAAAGTCGAAGCAGGTGTGGCTCCATGTCTCATCCCTTATATTCACCACCAGGGTGATTTTGCACTTGTCATCTCCAAAATCTGGACTCTGCAGGGTAGGAGGTCCTGGTTTCCCAAAGGGGGCACCCTGGCAAGGAGACAAATGGGAGTCCACGGAACTACACATTTTTGGGGTCCGCGTGTTTCCTAAACAAAGGAATGAACACACAAGACAACACAGGACAAGACAAACATGGCGGCCGCCCCGAGCAGCATGCTCTGCTTTATTTTATACATGCTTGTGGAATTTTACTACGTCACAAGACACGAGTTGTTTTTATGACACAAGTTGTTTTTATGTCATGAGTTGTTTTTCTGACCTTTCTCTAACTTTCTGAGTTCTCATGATGCTTAAACATTAACCAGTTCCCAGAGTCTGCTGTTTGCGGCTGACTCTTTTGTTCTTCCTGTTTGCAGAGAAGAAACGTCATGCTTTGTTTGCAAGAGCATAACTATCGAGAACATCTCGTTTACGAGCACGTGGCCCTCTACACACATTTTGGTTGCCCCCACGGAAGTTTGAATAGAATGTTCCCAGAGACAAGCAGGTAACAAGAGGAGGAGGCAGGGCTGCTATCACACAATGAGGGCAGCAGAAGTGTGTGGAAACCAGAGGTCCACGTGGGGACCTCCTGGTTTCCCTTGTCCCATTGTTAAGTGTGAGCAGAAATATCCAGCATTATTTTAATCTTATGCTAAAAGTATAATGCCATAAATTGTAGAATAAAAGTAAAGAAAAGGAAGCTATTAATGGAATGTGAAAAAATGCCTAAGGTGATTCTGTAGCCAAGACAGTGGTTTTTAACATTTAATCTCCACCTTCAATTGAATGTTTTCAGAACACCTGAGCAACATGAGCTCTTTCCCATTCTTGGTACAAGCACTTGGGAAATCAATTAGCCTTATCTAGTATGATTAACATCCATGCACCAAATAATCCCACCATCTGCTCCTGATGATATACTCTGGGGATATTCTTGGCTATGTATCCAG